CACTATGAAGTGCTCAGAGCTTGGCCAGACATTGAAAACATCAAGGTCATCCACTGCATCCTGGGCCATCACCAATTGCCCTGACTTTCATCTTGCCACTGGACTTCAATGACTCTGGAAGAGAAAGTAAGACGAACAACTTTGTGCAATTCTGCCTCATTTAAATTCAGTTCATGAGCAAGTCAAGACATCACTCATTCACGACATTATTGGTCTTCCAAAACTAAGGATGAACCAAAAACATCTATAGTAAGTTTGGAAAAAATAGGTTGGGGCCAAGTTGTGAAGGGCTTTAAAAGCTAATAGGGGTAGTTGATATTTTTATCTTAGAGGGCGCCACTAGTGAATCTATACTTGAGGAAAATCACTTTGGCCACTACGTGAAGGAGGGGCTGAAATGGTGACCTGAGTCAGTGGGATCAATTCAGAGACCACTGCCATGGTCTGGGTGAAAGGCGATGAGGGCCTGAGCTAAAGTCATATTTGTGTGAGTGGGAAGATGGGAGAGATGTGGAGGCAGGACCAATGAGATGCAGCCAGCGACTGGATATGTGGGGCGGGGGAAGATCATCAAGGACAATGCCAATATTATGAACCTGGGAGACTAGAGAAATGAGGATGACTTTGGCAGAAACAGGGAAGTTTGGAAAAAGAGAAATTATGGATTATGTTTTGGACAGGGTGAGTTTGAGCTGCCTACAGGACATCCAGGTTGAAGTGTTCAATAGGTATTTGGTGATGTGGGAGCAGAGGTCAGGAAAGAGACTGGCTGATATCATCATCTCTCATATCTCATCACATCTCATCACTTCAGAAGTCTTTTGTTTCATTTTTGCTTCTATGCTGAGAGACTGAAAACCACCCCCCATGCTTCTGTAGGTGGTTTCATTGGTTACTGTGGCCCATGCTTCATCACTTGGTGGTCAGTGCTCTGAAGATGAGCCTCTGTCAGTCTGCCCTTTGGACAGTTGCCACACACTGTGTAAAGATGCAGAACTTTTCCAGCTCGTTAGGGCTTGCAAGAGCACCTGTTCCCCTGACATAACCTTTGAACACTTGCTTCAAGTTTGAGACAGAAGAGAAAAGGAAAGAGAAGAACAGTGGGTTCTGTAAGCCATGCCACCCTTGAGGAGCAATTGATGGCTGTGCTCAGACTGACATTTTTGGCCCAGAGTCTGGGACCAATGCAGCTATGGCCTGAGCCTTAACCTGCTATGACTGAATCAGCCCAAGAGCTGAGATCCAAACAAATAGATGCAAGCTGCTTTCTAGGGATATGAGGATTGATACTGCTACTGCTGAGGGGAGTCTGAGCTGAAACAGAGACAGTTTTTCGGGGGGGGGGCAGGACACCTAGATCAGCAGTTTCTGGGAGCCATATTAGTTGGGGAAATGAAAGGAAGATTAATTCCTTTGCCCTAACTGATGGAGGCCTCAGAGCTCTGAAAAGATGTTCTAGACTTCATAATTCCTGCCCCTAATCCTTTTACCACATGAGGAAAGGAGAATATAGTTGGTAGGAATTTTTTACTTTGCGAAATGATCAGAAGGAGGGAGGGAGTAAGTATGTACCCAGATATAGTGTGAAATGATAGTAGAGAGAGCCAGTCGGATTGAAGGGGGTTTGTCAGTCACCGGGTGAAAGCAGAGCCATAGAGACATTCTCCTAAACTGAATGTTAAATTTGGTTAGTGAGAGTGACTAACCTTTCTCAGCCGTGAAGTGGTTGGGGGAAGGGGTCTCATATAACCACTAGGGAGACCTTGTAACCCACCTGAGCAGATGGAGACAGTGCAGCATCACCTCCCAAGCAAATTATAAATTACACTCCATTGCTTGCTAATTGAGTAATTGCATGGTTGCCTGCTTCTTTTGAGCCAGCAGGGCAAAGAGCCAGGGGTAGATAGGCATAGGTTTGGTAGCACCACAAAATATATACCTAATACAATGCTAGAGTTAGGTGAATGAAAAAATGGTTGCATAGTTGGACTGAAAGGGTAGTGATAATGGTTCCTCGTCAGTTCAGAAGGTGGTCTTCTGCCTTAGCTACCTATGCTTGGCCTTGCACTGTTCAATGTTTTTATCAGTTAACTTGAGGGGGAAAAGGCATTGATGGTATTACGCTCATCAAATTATTACTGATGGCACAAAACTGGGAGGGTCAGCCAACTCTTTGGACAGCAGTCAGGACACAACATCTTGATAGGTTATAAAATGTTGATCCAAATGGGAGATTTTAAAAACTTTTATCAAAGGCTTTTTTTTTGTTTTTACCTTACAACCATTTCCTGATATACAACACCCCCCCCCCCCCGCCCAAAAAGAGCCTTCCCTTTAAAAAAAATTTGAATAACTCCTATCAGCATAAGGAGTGGCAGTGTATGTAACGTCCCACACCCTCATTTCTTGATCCTTGTGTCCAAGGGCATAAACAGTTTAGTGAGCTTTCTTGCATAATTAAAAAACGCTTTTCTGGAATGATTGGGCCAGTTTGCTGTACCACCACCATTGTGACTGAAGGATGCTAGAGGAAGTCATGCAATTGAATGTACTGAGTCTGCTACAAATTTATGTTGCCTCATTTCATTTGGGTCCTCATTGTAGCAAGGCAATCCTTTTAATCCTCTCTATTTCCCTATCTCACTCCCCACAGAGGCTGTTCCAAATTTTCTCTTCTCTCCTCAAGCTTCCCATAGCTTCCATCCCCTGCCCCCCATCCCCACATCATATAGGACCTCACCTCATACTTTAATGAGAAAATAGAGGCCATTCTCTTTTTAAAAATTAAACAATTTATTAATTTTTAGTTTTCAACATTCATTTCCATAAGTTTTTGAGTTTCAAATTTTCTACCCCTCCATCTCCTCTTCCCTCCACAAGACAGTGTGCAATCTGATATAGGTTCTACTTATACATTCATAATAAGCATATTTTCACATTAGTTATGGTATAAAAAAGAATTAGAACCAATGGGAGGAACCACAAGAAAGAAGAATCAAAACAAACCAATAAAAGAAAAGGAGAGCAAATAGCATGCTTCTACCTGTGTTCAGATTCCATAATTCTTTCTCTGGATGTGGATAGCTTTATCCACTGTGAGTCTTTTGGAGTTGTCTTAGATCCTTGCATTGCTGAGAAGAGCCAAGTCTATCAAAGTTGGTCATCTCACAATGTGGCTGTTACTGTGTGCAGTGTTCTCTTGGTTCTGCTCACTTCATTCAGCCTCAGTTCATATAAGTCTTGCCAGGTTTTTCTAAAGTCGAAGAGGCCATTTTCCATGAGATTTCTCTTCTTCCACATTTTATTTCTCAGCACATTTTGATTCCAACCTCCAATTCCTCTCTGATGAAGAGGCAGCTGTTCTTGACAAAGTCAATCTTTCTGCTTGTATATTTGACTCCATCCCCTCTGAGGTTGACTAGCAGATTGCCCCCACAATCCTTTTCTCTGTCTATAATCTTCTGGCTACAAATTCAGCACAAACATGTGTGAGATTTGGGGGGTGGGGATGGGTGGGGAAGGGAGAAGTATTGATGTACAGAGGCAGATTTAGGCTGAATGTAAGGAAAAGCTTCCCAATAATGTTCTGTTGGTTTTTCAGTCATGTCTGATTCTTCATGACCTCATTTGGAGTTTTCTTGGCAAAGATACTGGAGTAGTTTGCCATTTCCTTCTCCAGCTCATTTTACAGATGAGGAAACTGAGGCAAGCAGGGTTAAGTGACTTTCCTGGGGTCACACAGCTAATGTCTGAGGCTAGACTTGAACTCAGGAAGATGAGTCTTCCTGACTTCAGGCCCAGCACTCTATCCACTGTGCCATCTAATAATGACAATTGTCTAACCGCGGAATGGATTTCCTTTGAGCATAATGAGCTCTCCATTACTAGAGGGCCAGAAGAACATTTCTCAAGCCTATTGCAAATAGGATGTTTCCCTTATAGAGATGTGTTATGGGTAGCTGTTCTCTGAGGTGGCTTCCAAAATCAGACAGTCAAAGGAATTAATACCTGAGAGAAATGTGGCAAATTATCAAAATTATCCATTTTACACCTCACTCCGCTCTCTATCTCTTATTTATGTGGCCAAGAGGTCTTGTGAATAACTGGGACGTGGGGATAACTGGGGGAACCAGGCAGGAAGAGAGAGAAAAAAACAAAGGTATACCATGGCGCTCAGCAGGAATGGTGGTGGTGATAGAAGCCAGAGCTATCTTCCTCGGCTGACTTTTTTTTTTAATGTCTTCTGTAATTATTTTTGAAACTCTACTAGCAAAACCAAAATAAACCCTACCTACAGCCCAGATTTCACAGAGACTTATATGAACCTACATATGGGAGAACATGGAAATTCATTTTCTCTCTTCTAGGGCACTGAATACAGAGGAGACTGCACTTTGGATGAAGAGGCATGGCAAAAGGACCACTGGATTTGCAGTCAAAAGACCTGGCTCAGATTCCAGGCTCCACTCCCCGCTAAGCTGTGTGTTCTTGGACTTGGCCAAGTCACTTTGATTGTCTGCACCTCAGTGTCCCCATCTGTAAAATAAAAGGTTAGACCACATTAGGAGTTCTTAACCCAGGGTTCATGAACTTTAAAAAAAAATTGGCTATTTCAATATAATTGTTTATATACATATATACAGCCTGGAATTGGCATCTGCCCATATACATACACATGTGTGTATATATGTATATGCATATACATATACATATGTATTTTTTGCATTTAAAAATGTTTTCTGAAAAGAGTTTCATAGGCTTTACTAGACTGCTCAAAGGGGTGAGTCCTTGACACAGATAGGATTAAGAACTCCTGGATTAAGTTATCTCTAAGACTTCCTCCAGATCTGTGTATACTCCCATAGTCCAATGCTACTCTCTTTTCCCTGGCCCCATGCATGCCTCCTTTCCCTCCCCACCCAAGGGAAGGGCAATAGTAGGGGCCCCAGAGTTCCTTATGACATCAGAAAGCTAAGGGAGCTGGGGTGGGAGGGTAAAGATGGGGAGAAAGGCTGGGCTAGGGCCAAAGGGGATCTGGAAGTACAAGATCCAGGAGGGAGAAGTTGGGGGGCAGGGTCACTAAGCCCCCAGGGGTACTGGAAAGATGGGCAGATGCCATTCCAGGCTGCCCCAGGTGGGAAAAACCCTGAGGCCTCAGCAGAAGGGTAAATCTTCAGGAGTCCCCCAGGGAGCCCAGAATCTCCCCACCTAGTCACAGAGCCAGGACCCTACTGGCGTTCCAGCAGCAGAGGTTGAGGGGGCCAGGATCCAGACAGAAAGGAGTCCCTTCTCTTCAGGGGGAGGGAGAGAAGAAGTAGGGGAGGAGAGAAAAGGTGGGGAAAACATAGTTTGGAGGTTCTCCTTACTTGCCAACAGGCACCAACCTATGCCAACGGGTGTATATATTGGCTCAAACACCAGGGCAGTCAAACATGAACATGTGAGGGAGTAGAAACAGTGCCAGAGTTGCAGTCAGAAGGCCTGGATTCAAATCCTTGGTAAAGTCTTTTTCCTGGTCTAGGCCTCAGTTTTCTCAACTGTAAAGCAATGGGATTAGATTATATGATCTCTAAGCCCCTTCCAGCTCTAAATCAGGTGATTCTGTAGCAAAAGATCACACACACACACACACACACACACACACACACACACACACACACACCCTGTATGCAAGCACAAGAGTAAGCATGCACATACATGTACCAACTGCACACACATGCAAACTTACCACCTTCTTCCCCACACGCCAGATCTGCTCAAATCCCTCCGGATCATCTTCGTAATGGGAGGACCAGGCTGTGGCAAGGGGACACAATGTGAGAACATGGCAGCCAAGTACGGTTTCTGCCACGTGGGCCTTGGGGAGCTATTGAGGGAGGAGGCAAATCAGGCCACTGTGCGGGGCCAGCAAATCCGGGACATCATGCTAAAGGGCCTTCTGGTGCCCACGGTGAGGACTCAACTGACTCATTCTGCTCTCCCACAATGCTACCCTCGTAGCCCAGATCTTTGCCCACTGCTAGAACCCAGAGGGTCCATCCTCATGGCATCTCAAACGGCCCTTACTTGGCATGTAGGAAAAGAATGGGAGATTGTACCCATTTCACAGATTTGAGTGACTATGTCCTTAAGTCCGGGGAACTGGGTGGGATGGAAAACCAGTGTCCTCACTTTTTCAGATGAGATTGAAGCATCTATGGAAAAAGCTGGGTGTGGGGTAGTCAAATGCCTTGGGTTTGAATTATGACTTTGGAGGTTGCTAGCTGTGGGACTAGGCTTCAGTTTCCTCATCTGCAAATACTGTAGTTCCCATGATATTAAGGCACAGAAAAGGCTAGTGACTCCCCCAAAGTCACTTTAGCAAAATCAGGTCTGGACCTCCCTAATGCCCAATCTCTGCCCCTCTAGGGTGTGATTCTGGACATGGTGAGTGACAACATGTTGTCCCGACCAGAAAGCAAAGGCTTTCTCATAGATGGATTCCCCCGGGAGCTCAACCAAGCCAAGGAGTTTGAACGCATTGTAAGTATACTGTTTCCTCCCCAACCTTGCCAGCTCGACCATCTTCTCCAACCCCACTCCACCCCAAACCCATGTCCCTACCCTGGACTTTTAACAATCCTAAGAAAAACCAAGTGATCCCAAAGCTCATCCTCAGTCTCTGGATTCCTGATGCCTTCTTCCCAGCCCATATAACGCATTATTGGGTCATCTCCCTTAATCTTTGCTCATTCTAGAGAGATCACATGCGTGAGGTCTGGGACAGAAGCTAGAGTGGGAAGCAGGGGCAGGTCATCCAGATGACTGAGGAACTGAATTAGGCCATGAAGATGTGGCAAGGGCAGAATCTTACCATTTCAGGTCAAAGAACAGGGAATTACAAAACTGAAAGACCCCCCTTACTCTTTGGAATCCTCCAGCAGCCACTCAGTCAACAAGCATTAAGTGTCTATTGTGTGCCAGGCACTATGCTAAGTGATAGCAATACAAAGAAAGGCAAAAGATAGTCTCTGCTCTCAAGGCGCTCATAATCTAAGGGGAGAAACAACAGGCAAATAGGTACAAATAAACAAACTATAGACACCATGAATCAGAGGGGATTGGGAAAGCTAGCAGAGAATGCTTAGTTGAATGAATGAATGAATAGAAAACAGGGAGAAAGGTGATCTTGGAAACAGGGGTGCTGTGTACTGGAAAGACCACTGGACTTGGAGGCAAAGGAACCAACTCTGTTACAAAGGCAAGTTATCTTCTATCTCATGACCTCAGCTTTCCTGTCTGTAAAATGAACCAGTTAGACTTAATCATCTCTAAGATCTCTTCCAGTACTAAAGTTTAATTTTTTAAAAATTGTTTTAATTTTTAGGCAGTCGGGGTTAAGCGACTTGCCCAAGGTCACGTAGTTAATAAGCGTCAAGCATTTGGTCTGAGGCCGAAGTTGAACTCAGCTCCTCCTGACTTTAGGGCCGGTGCTCTATCTACTGCGCCACCTTGCTGCCCCCCAACCTAAAGTTTAATTTGATAAAATTAAGGCAAAATGCAACAAATTTGGATTGAGTTTCTGAAGGAGAAAACAGGTTTAGAGCCTTGGACTTAAAACACCAAGGTTTGAACCGAACTCTGACTCTCCCTAGCTATGATGTGGCCTTGGGCAATTAAAAAAAAATGGATAGCTTTTGTTTTTCCATCACGTTTATTTCCAAATCTAAGCTTTGTAACAAAGAATTTTTTTTATAAAGGCAGTGAAGAGAAAAAAGTCGGTCTGCAGAAGACCTCAGGTAAGTTGCTTGGTTTCTTTAAAACTAAATTTGTTGTTGAGTCATTTCATTCGTATTGGACTCTCTGTGACCCCATTTGAGGTTTTCTTAGCAAAGATATTGGAGTGGTTTGCCATTTCCTTCTCCAGCTCATTTTTACAAATGAGGAAGCTGAGGCAAAGAGATGATTTGCCTAGGGTCACACAGCTAGTAAAGGGCTGAGGCCAGATTTGAACTCAGGTCCTCCTGACTCTGGGGTCAGCACTCTATCCACTGTGCCACCTAGCAGCCTGTAAAACCATAAGTTGCCCGCTCTGTAAAAACGGATAGAGATGCGCAAACTATCATAGAGTTGTTAGGAAAAAAACCCCACTTTGTAAGTTGCTATAAATTTTGATATGACCTATAATAACAATCGTAATAACAATAGTTCATATTTGTAGAGTGCTCTGCAGTTGACAGAGCATTTCCCTCTCAACAGGGCTTTTTGGCAGGGACTGGGGGATTCCCATTTTTTTGCCATTTTACAGATGGAAAACCAGGGCCCAGTAAGTGGAGGTAGGTGACTTTAATTAAAAATTATGCAGAAATGTATTTCATAGTTTTCTGAGAGAGGCAGGATCTAAGAGATCATTTAACTCAATCTATTCCTTTTACAAATGGGGAAACTGAAGTCCAGAGAGAGGTCAACCTACCTAGAAAGGAGCAGGATGGAACTTGAACCCAAGTCCTTTCCCCTGCAGCTAAGCTGCCTAGTGTTCCATTCAGTGTATGAAAGGGGTTGTCCCACTAACTGTGGGACAACCCCTTCTTTCTCACCTTCCTCCACAATATATCAATGAGAGAACCAAGGCCCAGAAAGGGAAAGAGCTAGGATTTGAACCCAGGCCTTCTGATATCCTGTCCACCACTCTTCCTTTGATAGTCATCTCAGAAGCAGTGTCAGAGTTGTAAAAAAACAACAACAACAAAAAAACCCCAACAAAAACCTCAGATGATATATATTAGAGACAATTAGGTGGCACAGTGAATAGAACACTGGGTCTGCAGTCAAGGAGACCTGAATTCAAATTTGGCCTCGGACACTTACTAGTTCTGTGACCCTGGGCAAGTTATTTAATCTCTGTTTGCCTCAGTTGCCTCATATGTAAAATGGGGGTAATAATAGCACCTGCCTCCTAGGGTTGTTGTGAGAATCAAGGAGATAATAATTGTAAAAAGCTTAGCACAGTGCCTGGAGCATAATAAACACTATATAAATGTTACTCGTCATCATTACACATATTATTATAGGTGTAGGTAGGCCGATCTGTACCTGAGTAGGGACGCTCAATCTGGCATCTCGAAATGTGATCATCCTCTCTCCTCTTGAATACCACCAGTGACAGAGACCAGTCTTCCTCGGGATGGCTCTGATTCTTAGGAAGTTTTTCCTCGTATTGAGCCAAAATGTACCCGTCTGCCATTTTGATGAACTGCTCTTAACTATGTGCCCCCACTGCCCCCTTAGTCACTGCCTCTCTGAGATTGGACAGGGACACAGAAGGTGGTGCAGGGGGCCTGTAACGGACCTCTGTAGTCTCTTCCCTTGCCTCACCCTGCCAGGTGGGCCGATCCCCCAACATCGTCATTGTCTTTGATTGCTCCACGGAGACCATGATTCACCGAGTGCTGCTTCGAGGCCAGAAAGGACACCGTGAGGATGATGCTGAAGATGTTGTACGACAGCGGCTGGAGACCCATTACACCCTATGTGAGCCCATCTTGGCTTTCTACCAGCAGAAAAACCTTCTCCGGAATGTAGGTGTTCATATGGGCCTGGCCTCAGTTTCCTCACCTATAAAAATGAGGGGTTGAACAAAACTGTCCCAGGTGGGAGGGGTAGAGGGAAGGGGAGGGTATCTGTTCCCATTAGCAGGAAAGTTTAGGTAGCAGCAGATTAAGAAACAAACCCCCCAAAAAAGTCCCAATACTGGGTCCAACGTTGGTTCAGCCACTTGGTATGTGACCTTGGACAAACTATTTCATTTCTAATTTATAAAATCAGGGGATTGGGCTGGATGATGTCCAAGTTCCCTTGGAGCACTGACATTCTGTCTTCTATGACCTAAGGTTTTTAACATTCTATATTCTGTGGTCTAAGATTTCTTCTAGCCCCCAGAGTCTGAGTCATAGAATCTAAGAGACCCCCAAGGCTCAGCTCAGCCTCTCCTTAATGACAACCCACTTGAAAAACACCACCCAGGCTTTGCTTGAAGACAGACCTCTAGTGGGAAAGTCACTCAACCTCTGTTTGCCTCAGTTTCCTCATCTGTAAAATGAAACAATGGCACCTACCTCCCAGGGTTGTTGCAAGGATCAAATGAGATAATAATTGGGAAGTACTTAGAACAGTACCTGGCACATAGTAAGTGCTATATAAATGCTTATTATTATTATTATTAGTGAGGCACAAGTCACTGATCTAGGTATCCCACCCCATTCTGGGATAGCTCTAATTATGTGGCAGTTTTTCCATCACCTCCAACTTAGATTTGTCCATTTACAATTTCAACTCATTGCTCCTCATTCTGGGATTTGCCCTTTCAAGTACTCAATTTTTCCATCTGACAAATGGAAACAGTCCCTGATTTAGCTCTTTCACCTTTGACACCAAAGGAACTGGCACTTCATAGATGTCAGACTTCCTTAAAGCAAAAACTAATGACATGGTTAAATGGGTACTGGATTTGAAGTCAGAGGACTTGGATTCAAATCCTAACTCTCATATTTATTCCACTCCTGTGACCTGGGCCTTAGTTTCCTTATCTGAGAAATGAGTGGGGTTGGTATCTGAAGTCCTTTCTAGCTCTGCCTCCTATGACGAGCATTCCTGATTTCTGGGGGGTGGGGTGGTGGTAATGGACTTGGGGGGAAGTAAGGATAGAGGTAGCACCTCCCCCTTCCCATGGGACTCGATCTGACCCCTTGCTCTCCATGTCCCCCGCCTCCCTCAGATCCTGGCAGAAGATGCTGCAGAAAACATCTTTGCCAAATGCTGCTCCGTCATCGACAGTCTGCAGTAGAGTCTGAGCCCTCCCCTACCCCCACTGGAGGCCCAGAGCTCCAAGATGCCCAACCTTTCAAGACAGCCTCGAGCCTCAACACTCACAGTAGTTGCCATTTCCTGGGGAACTCTATGAGGTAAAAGGGAGGAGGGCTTGGAGAAAAGTCTGTCTACCTCTCTACAGCAAAGTCAAGCAATGGAATGGAACACCCTGTCCCCAACAATCACGGGCAGTTATGGGTACTCTGAAATACTCAGGTTAGCCAGGGATGGGTAAAATCCCCAGCGGCTGGTCCTACCACTAACCCTCTCTGGGCCTGTTTCGCCCTCTACAAAAGAAGAGGGTTGATCTTTTACAGTTCTGGTATCTCATGATTCGTTCTCTTCTTCCATTCTTGATCAGAATTATCAGAAGACTGCCTAAGGTAGTGGAATGAATGCTAGCCTTGGAGACGAGAGAACTGCATTTCAATCCTGTCTTCACCTCTTACTTATTGTGTGTCCTTGGACGAGTTGTCTCTCTGAATATCTTTTCCTGTAAAATATGACAGGCAGCATTGGGCAGCTGGACAAGCGCTAGACTTGGAGGCGGAGGGGCCTGGGTTTAAATCTGGATTTGGATGCCTGCTGGCTGCATCCTGGTACCTCTGGAGCCTCTTTCCAACTATAAAGTGGAACTAATAGAATTCTCATGCTGTCTAATACTTCAAAATGCATTATAAATCCTAAAGGGCTATAGAGATGGGAGATCGCTCTTTCCCATCCTTAGGAAATATAGATGGTGACCTCTCTTTCAAGGGTTAATGGGGGCATAGAGAGAGAGTTAGAGAGAGTTTGAGTTGGAGAACTAGGATATGTGGTATAATGGAGGAACAATGACTTTTCCTAAGGTCAGGGTTGAGTATCAGCTCTGGGTGACTATGGGCAAGTCACAACCTCCCTTGGGTGCTCAATTTCCCTTCTGTAAAATGAGGGAGCTAGGGGTAGCTAGGTGGCACAGTGGATAGAGCACCGGCCCTGAAGTCAGAAGAACCTGAGTTCAAATCCAGCCTCAGACACATGACATTCACCAGCTGTGTGACTTTGGGCAAGTCACTTAACCCCAATTGCCTAAAAAAAAAAATGAGGGAGTTAGACTGCATAAGCCCTAAAGATACCTTCTGGCTCTAAACCCTATGGTGCTCATGTAACCAGCAGCAGATGCTGTGGAGAGCAAAGTTGACTGACTTGTACTCACTCACTTCTCCCTCCCCTTCCTCCTCCCTTCTGGGAAGGATAGAGCTAAATCCTTCAAGATCACAGTCTCCTTAGCGGGCTGGGCTTTCATGTTCCTCAAATCTCTCTCCTTCTCTCCTTCATATCTCTCTCCCTCTCCCCCTCTCCCTCTCCTCTCCTCTCCTCTCCTCTCCTCTCCTCTCCTCTCCTCTCCTCTCCTCTCCTCTCCTCTCCTCTCCTCTCCTCTCCTCTCCTCTCCTCTCCTCTCCTCTCCTCTCCTCTCTCTCTTTTTCTCCTCCCACCCCAAACCCCTCTTTCTCTCTCTTTTCCCCCACCCCCCCTCTCTGTTTTTCTCCCCCCCCCACTCTCTTTCCTCTCTTAAAGGCAGCTGGTGGTGCAGTAGAGTGCTGGGCTGGAGTCAGGAAGACCTGATTTCAAATTTGACCTCAGATACTCACTACCTGTGTGACCCTGAGCAAGTCACTTAACGTATTTCTGCAGTTTCCTCGGCTGTAAAGTGGGGATAATAATAGCATCTACTTTCTAGGGTTGTTGTAAGGATTAAATGAGATAATATTTGTTTTTTAAAAGGGGAGGAAATTTTAGCACAACACCTGGCACACAGTAGGTGCTATATAAATGTTTATTCCTAAGGAATAAAACAGAAAAGGCAGATGATGTCTAGCCCCAGGTACCCAAGTTCCTACTGTTCTGCTTTAGTATGGGGGAGGGGGGGGGCAGAGAGGGTTCCGTTTAAAATCCCCCTGTTTGGAGATTTATCAAGTATTAATAAAAATGAATAAAAGCTCTTAGCCCCCAGATAAGTTCTAAGATCTGGTTATTAGAACAGAATTGATTCTTCTGATCTTTTGTGCGTGTGTGTGTGTACTTTTGTTTCAGCTAACTGCTGGCATCTCCCATCAGCCCATTTTGTCTTCTACTAATGAACAAACAGGCAACCCACAAATGTCATGTTCAACCATAACTTTTACATGAAGAGAAAACAAAATCACAATAAATAAACAATTTAAAGCTAGCAAGGAAACAAGTCAGAAATAGATGCCAGCTAGTGACTAGCCATGGGGAAGGGAAATTTGGAGAGAGAAAACTTTTCAAACCTTTCTCAGCTTTTAATAAAGAAATAGTTTAGTTCAGCCTCCTTTCTTAAGGAATCACACACACACACACACACACACACACACACACATACATATAATGATCAGAGATATAACCATAGGGCTATATTCCCAGACTAGGAAAAGGGCAAAATCCTACAAGTCTCAGGATTCTTGGCAAGGTTTTGAATGACTTCCTGTGTGAAGGTTTCAGGCCTCCATCCTGCCCATGGGGGGGGGGGAGTCTGACTGACTGAACTCCCTATTTCACTAAAGAAGGGCCTTTTTAAAGGGATAAATGTTACCTAGTTGGCTCTCCCTCCAAACCTGTGAAGGGGGTTGGTAGAGAAGTCATTGACAGCATTTTCCAGATGAGGTCAGGAAAGGGAGATATGAGCAGGTGACATTTCCATCACACCTGAAGGTTTGCAAAGCATTTTCCAACTATTCTGTCATCTCAGCTTCCTGTGAAGCAGGTGCAAATGACTTGTTTTCTTATATCCCAGGAAATAAGGAGCAGATTTGAACTCAGGTCCTTTAGATCGAGGGATCTTTCTGCTGAAACATTCAACCCTCTCTTCCAGGCAGTGTTATGAGTTCTCCTTGGGAGGCAAGCACCATGGGAATATTGGGTACCAGACATTAATCAATGACCCATAGTTTCACAACCCCCAACCCCCAAGACAAAATTCTCTTAGTTCTCTAGTACAGGAAAATAACTGTACAGGAACTCTAAACAGAAGCCAGGCAGGTGGTTGACCCTCCTAGAATGGACAGAAGGACACAGGAGTGAGGGAAACAAGGTCTGGAGTTCCACTCCTGCTCCCATCCACCCCCAAGTAGCACTGTCTCCCACTCTAAAAACAACAGTGCCATACACAAGGTGGGTTTTTAACCAAAAAAAGTGAGGGAGGGAAGGAGAAATGAAACAACAGACCTGTGGAAAACGATCTCTCTGTCTGTCTGTCTGTCTGTCTGTCTCCCTCTCTCTCCCCCCCTTCTTTCTTTCTCTCCTCTCTTTCTCTCTGTTTTTTTTTATTAAACAGGAAGAGCATATTTTCCAATCACCATTATCAGACTTTTACAACATCCACTTCAACCTATGGTCACAGACAGCAGTCAGCAGACACAGGGGGAGGTTTTGTTCTCATTTATTTGTGAAGTTCAAAACAAGCAATAAAAAGTAAAAACTGCCATATTTTTTATGTTTGAAAAGGGTTCCCCCCATTTTGTTTTGGTTTCGATCTCCTCTAGAACAGATGAAATATGACAAACCTCTGAAGATTTTTGGGGGGGGTGTTGCATAGCAGATGCTGCTACTGACAGAGAGCGGGAGAAAATGAGGGAGAAAAGAGACCAAAGTGGTTACAGTAGGCTTTGTTACTTTCGGTTGGCGAAAAAGAGATAATTTTCAAATCCCTTTTCCTGCAGCCCAAACACCTACTTCAAGTAATGTTCCAAATCTTAACTTCAAAAAAAAAAAAAAGCAAAACCTTTTTTTTCCTTTTGAAAGGTTAGGGCTGATGGTGGTAGTGACATGTCACTGGTAGGAAAAATAGACTCTTTCTTATTTTTGCTAGGCAATGGGGTTAAGTGACTTGCCCAGGGTCACACAGCTAATAAGCATCAAATATCTAAGGCTGGATTTGAACTCAGGTCCTCCTGACTCCAGGGCCAGTGCGCTATCCACTGCCCCAATAGATTCTCTTAACCCTAAAAAAAGGCTGGCTGAGAGAGAGAGGGAATTTTTTTTATAGGTTTGGTTTACTTGCTCTTGCAGCAGAGATTTAGTTCTTCTATAGCCAGCTCAACATAAACAATTCTGAATTTTAGAGGAAAAATTTGTGAGACACCTAGAAAAAAAGAAAGCGTGCGAATGAGAAAATGCAGAACACCCCAAACACCAACAGGTACTTTCTCTATCGTGGCCTGCTTCCCCTTCCCAAGGTAGCCATTTTTCTCCCGCCAAAAATAAATGTAATCGATGGACTGGGCAACGAATGCCTGATCCTTGAAGCCACCATTCTCTGTCTGTTGCCAATCCAGCCTACGGAACTTTTGAAGCTAGTTTTGGCTGTGATATGTCGGTGTTAGTATTTTGCTATTATGCAAAGCCCTCTACTTGCCTTTGGAGCTTGAAGAACTGATGACTTAGGAGAGGCTTAGCTGAGACTGAGTGCACAGTGTGTACCAGAATTACAAGTGGTCCATCTCTGTCTCTCTTCCCTGGCAGCTCTCCAGTGAGTACTGCTTGCAGCTGACAGGTAGAGGTAGACACGTGTCTGTGGACTCTCTTTTGTATTTATTCTTTTGTAATGAGGGGCTGGCCAATAAGCCCAGTCCTTATGAAGCCTACACAGGGACATTAGTGTACCTGGCTGGTGCAGTTCCTGTATAGAAGAGGTTGGGAAGCTGGTTTCTGAGGGAGTTGTGACAATGAGTAATGGAAGTGGAGAGCTGGAACATGCATAGATATTCTGCAGACATTCACCATGTTTTTTATTTGCTGTTTAGTCATTTCAGTCAGGTTTGAGTCTTCATGACCCCACCTGAGATTTTCTTGGCAAAGATACTGGAGTGGTTTGCCATTTCCTTCATGGCAAACAGTAACTTTATTGGTTGCAACTTTAATATCTAAAGTGGAGGCACCATCAAAAGACTTCGGTCGCCTTCAGCCCTCTCTCAGTAAATCTCTACTCTTGGTTTTGCTCTTTTGTGGATGGTGTTGTATGATAAGAAACAATGTTATAACGGGCAAGGCCTTGGGTCTTCTCTCTTGGAGGCTGACATGTAGCTCCATGAATACAGGCTTCGGCTCTTTACTTTGGTGTTTGTTCTTTTATTTTAGATAGGGGATTGGAGGCTATAACCTTGAGAGTTGCAAAAGGTCAGGAGAGTGAGCCATCTGGGTGTCTAGACATCCAGGAGTCCTAGGATTCCTGGGAGTCCAAGAGGACGTCCATGATGGGTTTTCCAAACAGCTCAACATTCCTCAAGGTGTCTGTCTTGATTTATAACTTTCAAGTTCTCCCACTTAAACAAATTGATATGTGAGTGTAGAGGTGATTGAAGTGGGGTGGCGGCCATGGGGTCAGAGCAGTAGCTGGAATAGAAAGAGGTCTGAAAGAAGGAGAGCGAGGTGATCAGTAACACTTAACCTCTTATGAGTGCAAATTCATGAGCCAGAATGGAAAAGGCTATCTTACTACTGGGAGGTTCCTAGTTCTCCTGGCTTGAGCTCCTGTCTCCAGGAGGCATGCCTGGAGACTGAGGATGTGGGACAGGGGTTGAAATAAAGAAATAAAGACCATTTGAGGACAGCTAAGCAAATGGTGATCCAAGTATGAGGCAGGAATTCTGGGTTCAAATCCCAATTCTGCTGCTTCTCCTAAAAATCATTTTACTTTCTCATGACTGACTGGCCCTATTCCTATGGCAACAGCCCCTTCAGTGAGAAGATGGAAAACAACACGCAGA